GGATCTTTGATCGGTGGAGCAGCTAGCGTGGCGAAAGCAGTGGGCGATCGAAAAGCCGCTCGACGACAACTCGAGGAATTGAAACGTCACAATCGCGCGATGGAGGGTCGTGGTCTGTACATTGCGCCACACAAACGTGGCGGTCGCGTGAGGAAGAGAACAAAGAGGATTAAAAAAAAAATCATGGAAGAAAACGGTAGAGAATCTTAACTTATCGATCTCTGGTATCACGACGAACGAGCAATTGCGTCGTTCGGCGTATCTTTTAAAATTGCCATTCTTCAGAGGTGTATTCATGCGCGATGCGAAGCCCGCGAAACCACGTCGTAACGAGAGCGGTATCGTGAATCTCGACGATTCGACAGCACCCGGTACACACTGGGTTGCTTACGCGAAGAGGGGAAACGAATTTGTCTACTTCGACGGTTTCGGTAATTTGAGACCACCGAAGGAAGTCGAACGTTATCTCGGAGGTAACATCACATACAACAGGCGATCGTATCAGTCGTACGATCAAAGCATTTGCGGTCAGTTGTGTCTACGGTTTCTCTGGGAGATCGATTGGAAGAGGAAAAAGGTCCTCGTGTGACAGATCGCGCTACAATCCGAGCAGTTCAGCGGTGGCTTTCGCGCTACGATCATGTCATTGACACTCTCATTAACGGGAAAAAACAGTGTCCTCGCGGCGAATTACTTCCCCGCGTTGGACTTGAGCGATAGCGAATACGAATTGGGTCTTACGAATTTCGAAACGTACAACACGATACCGAACGTCAACTCCTCGAATAATAAATTCCACTTCAACACCGACGACATTACGATCACGATTCCTGTAGGTTCGTACGAATTGAACGATATCGAAAAGTATCTGAGGACCGCTATAGTTCACAATACACTACCGAGTACTATCAACAATGACGAACTCGAAGAATTCGACGAGGTAGATCTAATATTCGAGGACGAAAGAACTATGGAACGAGCGAAATCTGTATTGATTCTTCGCGCGAACGAAAACACCATGAGAAGTGAGATCAAGTGTCAATATTTAATAGATTTTTCCAAAACGAACAGTATCGGTTCATTATTGGGCTTTTCGTCTCGTATGTTACGACCGAACAAGTGGCACGTATCGGACGAACCGGTTAAAATTATGAACGTGAATATAATTCGCGTTGAGTGTAACATTACCTCGGGTGCGTACAACAACGACCGACCGGTACACACGATACACGAATTCGCGGTGAACGTTCCTCCAGGATATAAACTATCCGTTACTCCGGCGCACGTCATTTACCTCCCGGTCATCGCACGAAACATTACCGATATAACGATACGTGTAGTGGATCAAAACGGACAGTTGATCGACTTTCGCGGCGAAGAGATATCGATTCGACTACACATACGACGTAAACGCTAGGAAAACTATGTTCGAGGATGGAAGATGCACGTCCTGAACGATTCGTACGACGGAGTGAACGTATCGCAAACATCGACATTGTGGAAGCCATTCAAAAATCGATACAATCGAACGAAAAAACAAAAAAGAGGAGGTCGATTAAACGCGAGGAACGTCGCCTTTCTACGGTCACTCGGATTCGTCGTGAGAAATGAATCGTGACATCCTGAAGATCGGAGGTGCTCCGATCTTCGACGATCGCATCGTTAAAATAGAGACTCACACGTACAATCCGTACGCTAACACTACATTCGGATACAGCGATGAAATACGAATACCGATTCAACATCAGGATCTCTACACGTTACCGTGCGAAAGTGTACTCTACATCGAGGGAAAATTCGTCAAAAAACAGAAGGAAGGAAGTACCAACCAAACACCGAAACTGACGAATAACTGCGTCGCATTCATGTTCGACGAGATTCGTTACGAATTAGACGGAGTTGAAATTGACAGAAACAGAAACGTCGGTATTACAAGCACTATTAAAAATTACAATTCGTTGACAGCTGAAAGAAATAAAACGTTAGAGAATGCAGGATGGAAAATTGCACTTTCTCTAGACTTATTGCTCGATCGATCAATAACAACATCTGAAGAGTTTAACTTCTGTGTACCGCTCAACACACTTCTTGGATTTTGTGAGGACTACAAATGTATAGTGATAAACGCCCGACATGAACTCGTTCTGATACGTGCTCGTAACGACAACAATTACGTTATCGCTAGCGACACCGAGGAATTTACACTCACATTATCAAAAGTGCAATGGAAGATGCCGCACATGATACTGAACGACGTAAACAAATTATCACTCTTGCGAACGTTGGAACGGACGATATCTCATCCAGATGGGATTTCGATCTTGGGATTTGTACGAGTTTCCTCTACTTCAGAGCACGACGAAGCATTCGTGGGCTGTGAAGTCAACGTCGCATTTGGAAAAACCACAATACGTGATCCTTTCGCTTCAAACTGGAAAGCGAAACGTACTCTCTCAGGATAGTACTCATTTCGACGCGTGCGCGCTCGCCAACGTGAAACTCTTTTTGAACTCCGATTTTTTTCCATACGATGATATGAATGTGGATTTCGAACGTAATAAAGTCGCAATACTGTACGACATGTATGCAAAATTTGCGAACTCGTACTACGGCTACGAAAGAAACGAAGCTTTGTTATCACTCGCGCAATTTATTTCGTCCGCGCCACTCGTGGTGATCGATTGCTCTCGTCAAAACGAATCTGTAAAGAGCGCAACCGTGGACATTCGTATCGAATTCGAATGTAGAAAAAACATTCCACCGGACACCACGGCCTATTGCCTAATTATTCATGACAGATTAATAGAGTACAATCCATTGACAAATGTCGTTCGTAAAATTATCTAACAATAAAGATAACGAATTTTTCACGATATTACAGACTGAGTATTTTTAATGTATGCTTCACAAAAATAAACGTTATTTGAAACGAACTGTACTACGTTTACTGACACTCATACGATTCGTTTCCTATATCTATTTTCGACACACACATCCCTCCTCTCCCCTCCACATACTCGGCAGAATGCGATTGACTGTCGAACCGTATACTTCCGCTGTGCACGTACGCCGCAATGTCTCTCGCTTACCTCGTGGCTTTCGTTTCCGTAACGATATGCGCGTCGACACCGACGGCTGAAAATCTCGTAAACACAGAAGTGATAGAATATTTGCAGAGGTACGGTTACCTAAAAGAGGCAAATGTATCTACTCACACGTCGATCGAGGATGACAAAATTAAAGAGGCTATCGCATTATTTCAAGAATACTATCAAATACCAGGTAACGGTATATTGAACGATAATACGTTAGATCAAATGCGAAAACCTCGATGTGGACTTCCGGATATGCCACACCAGGAACACAATACGAATACAGTAAAATGGAAAAAAACGCATCTTACGTGGAACTTTCACTTAGCGGACGCGAATACATTAAAACTCGCGACATACGCATTCTCAATATGGGCGGCGAACACGTCTCTAACATTCGAACGTAAAACGTTAAATCCAGATATTTTGATATCATATCGCGGAGGAATTCACACATACATCGACAACAGACGGGAGGAAACAATATGTTCCGGTTTGTTCGACGGACCCGGTGGAGTGCTCGCACACGCGTTTCCACCTATGAACGACCCCATGCAAAGCACTGAGATACACGTAGACGTAGCGGAACCTTGGTTTATACAATTAAACGAAAGTGTATCAGAAAACAAGCTACATTTACTTTACACATTAACGCACGAAATAGGACATTCATTAGGATTATCGCACAATCATCGCGCAGATTCTCTAATGTTTCCTTACGTCACCGATAAATCCGCTACACTCAGTATAGAGGACATTTTAGCTATTCAACGTCTATATGGAAAAAATCAAAATGAAGTACCGAGTACACGATCTCCATCGGTAACTACAGATACGCGTAAAACATCAACGCAAAATCTGTGCGATCTACCATACGTGGACAATGTACTGGTGTTGAAACATCACATATTCGTCACTTATCGAAAGAGCATATGGGTGATAGCCATCAATGGTAAAAGGTACAAGGGACCACTCGCGCTCAATGACTATCTTCGTTTTCTTCCGGCGAACGTTTCAATAAACGCTGTGTATCAACGGCCATCAGAAGAAATTGTGATGTTCGCGAATAATAAAATTTACATGGTAGATTATCCGAGTTTTCAATTGAAAAATGGTTGGCCGAAAACGCATTCCGACCTGAACTTTCCCGCAGAAATGCGCGTTAACGCAGCATTAGTCACCAACCGAGGACAAACGTACGTGATCTTCGATGGCGACAGCGTAGCGTTAATGAATGAATGCGACATGACTATTCGCGAATATCACTCGTTAAAAGCGATATTTCCGGGAATACCATCATCTCCGACTGCAGCCTACCGATATATCGACGGTTCTCTTCATTTCCTACAAAAACGTCAATATTACAAATTCAACGAGTTCACCCAAACAGTAACGAATGCCGATACTTTCGACATGAAAATACTCAACGTAAATTGTCCTACAGACGGACTGCTAAGACAATTGCAAGATCTTCTTAATCGACTGCTTCAATCAAATAATTTACTCGAATACACCACAGAGGATGCATTGGACGATTAGCACGATGTTTTAAGTAAAAAAAATATATTACTACATGGGTACGCAGACGATCAGTGCGAAAGAACGAATCGTTCTATTAACATCGTGAGAGAGAGAAAAACATGTACGCGATTTCAAACGACACCGACGACGACTCTCGACGTCTCCTCATCGAGCGTACGAATGACGCGAAGATCAGAAGAGTTTTCACCAATACGGCAGCAAAGCATTTCATCACGGAGCACGATGAAAAAAAGGAAAAACAGTATAACGAAACGAACAATATGCAGAAACAATATAACGAAAAAGTAGATACTAAAGACACGTAGGTATTTGTATTTTCTTTTTTAATCATTGTTTTTTCTGAACTAATTGTTTTCTTACGCACAGAACCACAGTACGCATATTGGAACGAAGATATCCTTTAACTGCTACCGGATACAAGTATCTAACCGTCGGCATCAACGTCAAATTGCCCTGCGAGATAACTGTAGTTCTTGGAGACAGTCACGGCAAAGAGATGTTCCTCTCACCGACCGTATGGAGCGAGCTCATCGAACATAAACGCGTCATATTGTCGCTTTTGCAACCCGAAAATACAAAAGGAAAACACGCACCATCGCCAATATACATCGGAGATTTGACATTGCATTTCGGTCGAATTAACAATATACCGATGTTGCGTCTTGATTCGACATCTTCACGAATGACCTTGTCAAACAGTACAGTTGTCAATTTATTCAATCTAGAATATTGCGTCAATCGTCTCATTTCCTCATTCGACAATGTATCTGACATCATAAACAAAAAGTACTCGCGTCTTCTCAATACCGCGGCTAATGTGAACGATTCTACGAACATACAAAAAACCATGTACGAAAATGAATACTTCGATCGCAACGACATAATCGATTGCGAACTAATCGCACTGATCTTCGGACCGAATTAAAACGCTTTAAGAATAAACATTATTTTGTATTATTAATTGTATTCTCTCATGTAGTAACAACACTCGAATAAATATATTGACAAATAAGAAAATCACTTTCACATTCAATCTGACTGAATTACACGACCAAAAAAAAAATGTATTTTTATTCAACGCGCGACCCTGAGAACAATGAATAGATCGCAATCGTGCGTAGCGACCTTGAATAAATTAACGGTAAGCGCGTAGCGAACGACGAGGAAATACCGAGAAAATTGTCTCGGACGAGCGAGCGCGTCTTCGAATAAATATATCAAACAAAAGTAAGGGCACAGTATATTAGTCAACGCAACAATTTACATTTTTATAAAATAATATGGAGAAACCTGTTGAGAAAAGCATACACGCAACGGGAAAGAGTGAGAGAGAGAGAGAGAGTGAGAGAGATAGAGCGCGTCGAGTGAGTCATCCGAGGCGCGACCTTGGAGATAGATCGAGGTCGCGGCGAAAATACGACGAAAAAGGAAAAAAAAAAAAAGACCAATCACGCCGCGCAACGGAAAACAGTGCAGACGAGAGAGAGAGAGATAGAGCGCATCGAGTGAGTCATTCGTCGAAATGAATTGTCTCCGAAGCGCGACCATGAAGGCTGTAGATAGATCGATTGGAAGAGGAAAAAACAAATAAAGGTGAGAATCGTCTTCGAGGCGTGCATCGCGTAACGGTAACAACAACAACAATTGACGATTAGTTTCGTCGTTTTGACCAACTGAACATTCACCAACACATCTTTTTTTTTTCCCCCTTTATTTTTATTTTATTTTATTTATTTTCCACAGCCGTAACAACGATACGACGCGCGACCGAAACGAACGACGACGACGACGACGACGACGGCGTCGAGCGCACGATACGCGCGTGATCGAGCTACGAGGAGGAATGACGGCGACGACGAACGGACGACCGTCCGACCGACCGTCGCGCCGCTCGTGAGAATCTCGACGGCGCACGCGCGGGAAAAGAGACATAACCTGTAAATCTCGACGGCGCACGCGCGTGCGCGGGAAGAGACATAACCTGTGAAATGCGCGGGAACGGACGTAACCTGTAAAAGCGCGCGCGTGAACATAACCTGTAAAAGCGCGCGCGCGCGCGGCGGACGTAACCTCGCTTCGCCACGCGCTCGCCGCGATTAGAACTCGCCACGGCTGGTACAGCCAATGGCGTTGCTCCTTTTTGTTTTGTGTGCGTTCGAGTTTGCGTGTGTGCGTGGCTGGGACAGCCAATGGCGTTGCTCGCTCGTTTTTGTTTGTTTGCGTGCGAGTTTGCGTGTGTGCGTGTGTAGGTTAAAAAAAATGCGTGTGAAGGTCGCGCCTCGCTGGTGGGGACGCCCGGGGCGGTCGCCATGACTACGTCGCGGGCGCCGTCGCCGCGGCGAGCGCGCTTATGCTAACCTGATAACACAACGCGCGCGATCACGTGGCTATCCCGTGAAAGCGCATGAAAATCTCAACGGCGCACGCGCGTGCGCGAGAACGGACGTAACCTGCGAAATGCGCGGGAACGGACATAACCTGCGAAATGCATGCGCGCGGACATAACCTGTAAAAGCGCGCGCGCGCGCGGTGGACGTAACCTCCCTTCGCGCGCTCGCCACGCGCTCGCTGCGGCGACGGCGCCCGCGACGTCGTCATGGCGACCGCCCCGGGCGCCCCCACCAGCGAGGCGCGATCTTCACACGCATTTTTTACCTACACACGCACACACGCAAATTCGCACGCACACAAACAAAAACGAGCAACGCCATTGGCTGTCCCAGCCACGCACACACGCAAACTCGCACGCACACAAACAAAACCGAGCAACGCCATTGGCTGTACCCGCCGTGGTCAGTTCTAATTGAGTTGGTATATACCTAGCATTA